GGGGGGGGGGGGCTACGGTATACGTCTAACCCTTGGTTTGTGCGATGCAGAAGGGGTTGGACAAACAAAGGAATGGGGATGTCCTGTGGGTTGCCCAACCCAACTTTCTGCGTCGAAACCTTCGAAACTCAATTGAGTTTCAAGGAAGTACGTAATAGTATGAACCTGAATTTTGTTTTAATAAACTTCCTTGAACAAAGGACGATCAATCGCTTTTTGTTTTCTTCGGTGTTCTTTTGCCAACTACGCGGCGTACATGTAACTAACTAGTGGATCCAACAGGAATGGATGATGTATGTCAAGACGTCCATGGCGTCCTGGGCGTGCATCAGGGATCAGCCCATATTGCTTGTATGTGCCGGGCATGTACAGTACAGTACAGTACAATACAATACAATACAATACAGTACATATTTTCCAGAGAATATCGTATGTACGGAGTACAGTACATGTAGATCACCACAAACGAGTTAGGAACTCCAGATTGTGGTAGCTACATCTCATACCATAACACCGACGGTTCTGGTTCAGCCTGCGTGGTACTGTCACACCAAGAACCACCCCGTGGGCCCCAGTGAATCAAAATTACGCCGTGTGAAATGTCCCTGGTGAATAGGGACGCCGCTATCCCATGATTGGCATCTGGTCGTGTGTCTGCTGCATCCATCCTTGGGCCTTGGTGACCCTAGCCTTGCCCCTAGCCCCCTAGCCCCTGAAGCACTAGCCCACTGGAGCACTAGCCCACTGGAGCACTGGAGCACTGGAGCACTGGAGCACTGGAGCACTGGAGCACTGGAGCACTGGCCCACTGCAGTCGTCAGTCTTATGCCAAGGATCGAAATTTCGGCACATTTCCAACCGTGAGCCGCCTTGAAATTGGAGGAGAGCCCGTGAGCGCCGTTTAAAACACACCCACCGCCCAATGGACTCCACGGCGCCAGGGCATCACTAATCGACGTCCTCCACCGGACCTCTGCCTAGTGCGGGCGCCGTTTATTCGTGTCCTGGCTCGGCTCCCGAACCGCGTTCAGCTTGGCCAGGTGCCTGGGACCCTGACTCTTGCACCGCGAAGCCTTCGAGACTTTGAGACTTCGATACTTCGGTACTTTGATACTTTGATACAACGAGTCTACGGCGCCTGCAATACACGGCCTGAACCATGGCGGAAATAGCATCGGATGGCAACCTGCATCGAAAAACAGGGTTTTGTCTCTGGCGTCTGGCTCTGGACCGCTGGCCATCGGGCCAACGATGTGTGAGAGTGTACGGAGTAAGATTATCTTACCCATTGAGGAATCTAACCTGGAACGCTGCAACGGCAAGGCAAACGCGAAAAATGTAGTTTCTGTTACTTTGGTTTTGTTTGGTACTCCTACGATACGCCTGCTGTTGCATCCCAAGACATATTTTTTTGGGGGGGGGGGAGGGGTTGGAGGTTGTTTGCCCGCCATCCCCCTCGTCGTGGGTTTTTTTTTTTTTTTTTTTTTTCAATTTTTCCCCCGGAAGCAGGGCCCAGGAACAAAACCAAACAAAAGCCTCTTTCGTTCTTTGGGAGAAACACAAAAGACACAACAAACGAAAAAAAAAAGCAGAGGAAGAAAAAAAAAACAGGATCCGCCCGAATCCAGCCCGGCGGAATAACCCTGTCTAGCTCTGTCTAGGAATGGCGAATCACCAGCACCGGCACTGGCGCATATCTTTTCTCAAAAGGATGAAGGGCGACTCGTAAGCTCTCTCATTCTCTCTCATTCTCTCTCTCTCTCTCTCTCTCTTTCTTTTTCTCCTCCGCCAGTTCCTATTATTATTTTTCGGCCCTTGACTCGGGGTCTCTCTCTCTACCTGTCGCTTCTGTTCGATTCCTTCCTCATCTTCCTCTCCCTCTTTTTACTTTTTGGATATAGTTGGTGGTTGCGCTCCTCCGTTTCCGCTCCACGGGATGGGCGTGCAGCCACCCGCAGACCTCTCCTCGTCCTCGTCGCGGCCATGGGCGTCCCTTCGTTTCGTGTTTTCCAGCCCTTCTTCTTCTCCGTGCTCACCGTTGCTCTCCTCGCTTCAAAGCTGCTCCATCTGTTCCTGCATGCCCGCTCCATTCCGCTGCTGCATTTCGTCGTCTACCTCCCGACCTTCTTCCTCCAGGATTGTTTCCTCCTCGTAAGCCAGCGCCTGCTGCTGCATGGCCAGAGTCGCAATATCACCTCAATCCTTGGCCTCTGCATAGGTGGTTTTCTTGCGTATGGAGCATCCCCTCTCACCCCCCCCTCGTTGCCAGAGATCTTTGCGATAATGAAGCTAACCGGTTGTCCTTTTCGTTCGTTAGGACCATCTCTCTCGGTGCCGCAGCGTCACAGTTCGGGTTTTATTATGTCACCGGCGGGGAGTTGCAATGGGATGCAGCCGGGAGCGTGGCCAGCGATCCTGCTGCCATGAGGCTGATGATGAGTGGAATCGTGCCCGTCTGCGTTGCGGGCCTGGCCTTGGTCTTCGCCTCGTTGGCGATTACGCCCGTCTCCTATAACAAAACCGGCTGCTGGCTGGTATCGATATCCAAGTTCGCTTCATCGGCCAATTGGGACACGATGCTCCCCCTTGCTCGGGTCAAAACGGAATTTTCAACCCAGAGAGTCGTTCGGCTGTGGCCCCTCTGTGGCTTGACTACCCTCTGCGCCTTGGCGTTTTTGGTCTTCCTTCGACCGGCCATTCCTTACAATCATATTTCGGCTTCCTTGCCAGTCGCATTGAGCAGCACGATGCATTCCAAGACGAAACCCTGTGCGGGAAGCTATTCCCTTACTAATAAATCGTTTCCGAGACCTAATCTGATCGAGCCGGATCGTTGGATTCTGCCAAAAGATAACTTCAAGGGCTGGGCCCCGGGAAAGGTTAATGCCTTTATTCGACAGTACTCTGCGAGGACACGGAGCTGGATTCCAGATGCCCTCCCAGACGGGTTTGAACGCTGGGACAAGCAAGCGGTAATGGCTATAGAAAAACATGAAAACGACACAATGCCCGCCCAAGATGGAAAGAACATGTGCTTGGATCAGAGTAGAACACACTACTACAACCCTGTTGCAGATCCGCTGAGGATTTCGAATCTCAATTTAGAACCCTATGAAGCGCTCAGACACGCGCTCAAGGATATCCTGATATCACATGTTGTCCTTGTTACAATGGAGAGCTCGCGCAAGGATATGTTTCCCATAAAGAAAGGCTCTCACCTTTACAAGGAGATCCTTCGCTCTTACAAACCAAACCAACTCAACCAGAACAAAATCGACTCCAAGCTATCACAGCTGACTCGTGTCGCGGAACAAGTCACTGGAGAGTCATTTTCCAGCTCTCCAGACAAGCAGCCCGACCTCTTACCGGGAGTATGGAAAGATCAGTCTGCTCCCGGCATGGGTGGTATAAACGTCGTGGGCGCCCTCACTGGGAGCAGCCTTTCTTTCAAGAGCGTAATAGGCAGCCACTGCGGTGTCGGACCGCTTCCAGTGGATTTTCTCGAGGAGGTCAACGGGAAGATCTATCAGCCTTGTATCCCACAGATCATGGAGCTTTTCAACAGGGAAAAGAAAACGTTCCAGAAGAAAGGCGTGAACGAAGCGTTGCTCGACCATCGTGCAAGTGTGCATCGTCGAGAATGGGAATCCGTCTTTGTCCAATCCATCACCGATCAGTATGACCGGCAGGATGTGCTCAACAAGCACATGAGCTTTGGAAAGTCCTTTACGAAGGAGACCTTGGAAAATATTTCTTCCAAGTACTATCCACCGAAGACGCCTGAACTTAACTACTTTGGGTACGTGTAAAGAAGAGAAGAGAAAAGAAAAGAAAAGAAAAAGAAAAAGAAATCACTATACGGTAGCGAAAAATAAACAATATCTGACAAATAGATGCAGATATGCCGAAAGCGAGGTCAAACCCTTCATCCGTGACGTGATATCGGAGACGATTGCGAACAATAAACGACTGTTCCTCTCGCATTTCACCAGCACGACTCATCACCCCTGGGCAATCCCTCAAAATTTCGCCGAAACGCAATACATGGGCTCGGAGGGTTCGCATGAGCACATGAACGCCTTTTTGAACGTTGTTCGTTACGACGATATTTGGCTCGGAGAGCTTCTTGCGCTACTGGATGAACATGGAATTGCAAACGAGACCCTCGTGGTCATTGTTGGAGACCAGTAAGCCTTCTTTTCCTGTTATTTTCCAGTTGAAAGTTCAACTTCTTGAAACCCCCCCCCCCCCACACATGTTTCTAACGAGATGGGGGGTGGACGAAGCTCGTGCTGAGCAGGGAAGAGACATGCGACTAGATCCGCAGAGGTGGCCCTGTCTGAAAACATAGCCACTTTATCGTCTTTCTGGACTCCCTCGGTTGCTGCGTTGCACATCTCCCCTACAGCGTCGAGGTAGTCCTGAATCCCCTTCTCTTTCTCGAAGTGATATCGATAGTTTAGACTGACCAGCTGACTTCGGCAGGCCGCCATATATTTG